AGAAAGAACGAGTTTTTCGGTTTCAGTTAATGATTTATTAGATAAATTTATAATTGTTTTGTCCAGAAATTGTTTATGGTTATGAATTTGTTTTTGAATAATAAATTTTCTTTCATAGGTTTTATTAACGGAATTACATATATGATTAAATCGAAAAATTCTTTTTTAAAGGCAAAAATTTTCGAGGCGAAATACCCAAAAAGAAGTTTGTAGAAAATGAATCCGCCTCAACAATATAGAACTTATCTACAACTTTGCCTTGGTGGTTGTTGTGGATTTGGGGTGCTTCTTAGTGGGGAACTTTGTTCCAGGAGGCCGTGCGCTTCAAGGTCCACGACCCGAAGGCTCACAGCAAAGGGGGCACGTTGGAGAGCACGGTGAATGGGGGGCGCGGCGGACGCGAAGGAGGCGCCGATGATGAGGTGGCAGGCGGGCCCCCCATTCCCCAACACATCATGCACCCCAACAAGGACATCAACAAGCTCTACGGCATCACACCATCGGATATCGATAAGTATTCGAGGATCGTGTTTCCGGTCTGTTTCGTTTGCTTCAATCTGATGTACTGGATCATTTACTTGCACATTTCGGACGTGGTGGCCGACGACTTGGTACTGTTGGAGGTCGACAAGTAAAAGTGTCCATCGCAAACAAGCACTGAACAATTATCACGTTGCCGGCGAGTGAAACGTTGTGAGAAACTATGGCGAACGTTGCCCGAAAAACGCCCGTTTCCAGACCGAGTCAACGGGTTCTTAGCCGGCTTAGATGAGTTCTTCGGTTTTACCATAGGAAAACGACGACGAATGTGCTCCGATTCGTTCAACTTGGTTGTTATGTGAATAAGTTTATGTTTATTGTTGTTATGAGGGAGTGAGTGAATAGGGCCGAGAAATTTCATGAGGCTGACCTATCAGGGATTTTTCAAGATCACACGTTTCGAGGAATGGCTCACTTCAAGACCATCATTTGAAGCAGGCTTGGTCGTAAGCAAGGCACTCTGGAATGGTTCATTTACGGACTTCCGTTGTCTTACACAGATTTTTTTATTGCAACGTTTGGATTGGAATCTCCATCCGTTATCAGGCAAAATTTTCAACTACCTATCTTCCACCAGTATCTTCTATGGTCTGTCCAATTTTAGTAAGTGAAACTTATAGAATTTGCAGCCTATAGTTTCCTCTTTAAAATGTGCAAATTTCAAGTGGCTGTCTGATATGGATTGGGAGTTATACATTTTTCGAGGAGAGCGTGAAGCTGGGCGAACATGCCACATTTTTTAGTTCATCCGTAAATCTCCAAGGAATGAAAATCTTGCGCGATTTAACTGAAACTGTTAGAATTTTCAGTCGCTAGTGGTATAGACTGCAGAAATATGTGCAATAGAACGTTCAAATTTTAAGTAGCTTCCTTATGTGGATTGGGAGTTACACATGTTTAAAGGAGATCGTGCAGTTGCGCAAGCATGCTCATTTTTGGTCCATTATTTATACATCCGCAAAAAATTAAAATCTCTGGCGTATTTAGGGAAACTTTTTGAAATTGCCGCATCTAGTATCTTCTATGAAATGTGAAAATTTCAAGTTTTTGCCTTAGGCAGATCCAAAGTTACGAATGTTTAAAGGAGAGCGTGCAGTTCAGCGAACATCCTCATTTTTCAGCAAAAAATCGGGATCTTGAGCGATTTAAGAATGAGATCTATGAAATCCGCATATTTGAAGTGGCTATCTCATGTTGATTCAAAGTAGCAAATATTTAAAGGAGATCGTGCTGATGGGCAAACATACCCAATTTTGGTGCAACATTTGTAAGACCGCAAAAAATTAAAATCGCTGTCGATTTAAACAAAACCTTTCAATTCCAGAGGCACTTGTCTCTTCTATCATATGTGAAAATTTCAGGTTGCAGTCTTATGTGGATTGAAAGTTACAAATTTTTAAAGGAGAGCGTGCAGTTGGGCGAACGAACTTATTTTGGTCCTTCATTTATAAGGCCGCAAAAAATCAGCACCGATGGCGATTTAAGTTAAACTTTCAAAGTTTGCAACTTCCACTCACTATCTTCTACTGAATGTGTAAATTTCAAGTTTTTCCAAGCAAAACGTTGCAAAAAATCATCTTTTTAAGACAATGGCAGTCCCAATAAGCCATTCAACTTAGCAGTGTCTTCGACATTTGTACACATAAATAGTCTTCGAATTGTTTAGCCGGACTTCCATTCAACCTCAATATTGTCAATAAACAACATGAATTTCATGGCTAACTAATGGTTGTTACACTCCAAACTTGGTTACCAGAGAAGCTCTGTCAAAGCATGTAAAGTTTCGTTAAATTTCTGATAGTTTATCGATTGGTTAAATGTTAGATATATTTTTGTAGTTTAGAGAATTAGCGAAGGAAAATGAAGAACGTTAGAACACTTGATGAATTTGATTGATACGGGGGCGCAGCGAAATCGTAACATGTTTCCCGGCTTTGTTTCGCGCCGGCCTCGTATCCACGAAGAAAAAAACCAGTTTGTTTAATGCCCATGTAAATATGACGTTCCTGTTTTTATACCTAACTAAAGCGCACCTAATACTCATTGAAAATGCAATTATTTTTTAGACTAGCAGTTATAGCACTACACTCTGATCGGCCTGGGGAAATTTGCGTTTTTTGTCGGCCCCGAATCGATTTTCCGTTAGTCTAGATTAGTTTCTATGATTCGATGGCGAAGGGCGTGAACTTGCCCAGGCGGAATCCGGCTCGTTTACAGGGTGTTCTAAGAAATACCCGCAAACGCATTTTATATAAATGAACTAAACATTGCGCAACAGCGCGACTGTAGTCGCGTAGAAACGAAATTCTAAAATATGTAAAATAATATAATGTAATTAAAATATATATTATACACAAAAGGAAATGAGAATACAAAACGCCTTTGGTATAGTCCCACTTTGGCGTTGATTGCTCCTCCTACCACAGTTCGGTTCATGTTTTAATTGGCCAAATTTGTTCACACTTTCCAGCCAACCAAAGCGCCAGGATTATATCAGATGTGTTTTCGATAGATAAACGCGCTCGTAGCCCACAAGAAAATATCTAGTGAAACAATGAAATAAAATTGTATATAATTTAGATTCACAAATCAACCATGTTGCTGGACGGTAATGTTTATGTGAGCGCGCCCTTTTACCCATTTCATTAAATTCGACCGGCGACAAAAGGGCGTGGTCCGGCAAAAAAGAATTATTTTACAACCTGAACTTGTTAAGTATATTACACAAAACACATATACACAGCGTTTAAGAATCTATAAAGTATTAAAAAAATTGTAGCACATGCACAGAGCAAGAGTCTGACTATACGGAGCAATACTAAACTTTATTATAGTACCGAAAACAGCATTGTTTTTCTCTTTGTGACAATTCACAGGTTTTTTGATTCATTTAGAAATTGCACACACTTAGCACAAAATCAGCGAGCAAAGCCGAGATCTGACGAAAATGTACAAAGACCACGCAAAATCTAACGAGGCGTAGAAAAAAAGAAGAAAGTGGATATAGAAGACTTAATCAAGCCGCTGGATTTGCTCAAATAAACGATTTACTACTGCCCATCTGTCACTATTATGACAAGTTTCCATAGAAATGTGTCATTGTAAGTGACAGTTTTGCCAAAAAGTCGGTTTTTACTGTGACTTAAAACTGGAGTTGTAAGTTTTAGCAAATCCATCCATTTGAATGAGAGAAGAATGAATAAAACTTTTGTGGTGATTCTCAACTGATTTTTCTAATTTTTGACTTGAGGAATGAATTGAGGCGTTTACACGGGAGTTTAAAGGGTTTGAAAGTAAAAGAAACACGCAACATGGCAAAAACTGATGTTTCTTCGAGAATTCATCAAAGCCATTTGGTGGCTATTAAAGAAAAATTCCTAAGTTTGTCAAAGATGGCTGTGCACACTCTGTTTTTTAGATCTAGCTATTTTAGACGTCTAGTTGTAGATATACTTAGCGAGTATGTTATTTCACTTAGTTGAGGAATTCTGGACATTTGAGTCCAACTGAACTGTTAGAGGCGGGTCTTGGTACATCGCCATCATCATCAGAACCAAACGCTTCTTTGTTCGAATTTGGCACCCAACTCGGAATCTTATCTTAGTGGGCACAATGAGGCATTTTATTTGTTTCCAATTCTTTGGTTGTTTTACTGTGACTAACTGTTTCACTCTAACACAACCGATTTTCGAGTTATTGAGCTGTTATCGATACGAATTTGATCTCGACGTTTCAGTAGCACGCATCGCTATCGTCTTCCGAGGTGTCAGGACCTAATTACTATCGTCAACGGCCTAATGACGCGAAAAATGAGATTATTTACTCAACTACCCTGTAACATAATGCTAGGCTGACGTTGAAACCCAATAAGATCATAGAGAAATCAATTATTTAAAGATAATGGTAGACTGTAGCTTGGATTTATGTCAGCGGAGGCCTGCTCGTTGAGTGGGGACTAAAATGTTTCTTTTTTTAGTATTTTTCTGCTCTATTTTCATGAAACGCCACTGTCACCGGATGTACATTATAGGGTTTAATTTGTTTCGCAATCGGTTTCACTCACGTTTCGTTGCCATTGTGGAAGGAATCGTCAAAATATTTACTCAATTCAGCCAAACTATCATCGTTGGCTCTCAGTTTCCTGGGCTTCCTTCCCTAGTGGCCTGAGATTCGTTTACCCAAACATGTGCATATATTTCGATTAAAAGGGCCTCGTAGTGGCGTCTCATGCCAACTTTTTTGGGCGTTTCAGTCCAAAAACCGCGTAATAGAGAATTAAATAAAAAAGGGCCACACCCCCCTTTACACCGCATTGCGGGTGACTTATTGCTCACTTACAAGATATTCTAAATAATAAGAGAAAGTTGTATTGTATTATACTGTGAAAGGTCGTGATATGGCCGGGGCCTGAGTTTGGTGCCTTTTTCGGTTTCTCCATCGGCTTTTACTTTCGTCCTCAACTTCTTAGTGGGGCTCCAAACAGACCCCCCCGGTTATGGCACGAGCACTCGAATCATTCCAATTATTTAATTACTTATGTATTATTATGATTATTATTATTATTATTAAAGATGAAATAAGGACTACGTATTGCGTAGATATATACTGTTTGGCGTTTTTATTTGATTAAAAAACTGTAAAACCAACCGTTTGCCTTTCACTGACACCCTAGACAGTCTTTTATTTTGGCCATTTTAACTCAAATTTTCATGTTTTTTGGTTGATATTTGAGACAGTGTTTATTTTGCACAAGGGCGGATCCACGGGGGGGTCATGGGGGTCATGACCCCCCCATTTAATTCTCTATCCAACGATGCTAAAACGAATTCTGTGGCTCGAATGGTTCTTGAGAAACTTCGAAAAAAGCAGCGTTATGTTCAAGTGGATTTTGC